AGGAGGCTTTATATCACCTTCTCACCGCCTGCTTTAACCCCTTGAAGCCACCTGCAACCGTGTGTATTGAACGCAGTTGCAGGTGCTTGCAGAGCAACCCTATTCACTTGAATAGGACGCATTCAATGGATGGTAGTGTCTGCCGAAAGCAACAGGGGGTGTAATTCCTGCCAATGCATATGTACACTACTGCCTCTGCAGCTAAAGGGGGTAGCAGTTGGGGGGCTGTAAAAGCGCAGCTCAACCACAGGGTTTTACTACCCCCAACATCTAATTTAACAGTTCAAATGTTAATACTGCAGTCCTTTCACTCATAATTGAACAACATGCCTTAGTGCAGAGGTCTAAAAACTTTACAAACAAAGGGCCAGTTTACTGTCCTTCAGACTTTAGGGGGGGCGAATTGTGGCCAGTGGGGGTAGAAAATGTCCCAGGTCTAACATTAGTGAGAATAAATATTGCCACAGGGTTGGTAGTCAGTTACACAGTGCCTGTGGTAAGTAGGAGGAAGAATAGTGGCCCATCAGTGGTATTACTGGGAGAAACAGTACCCCATTATTGGTATCAGTAGAAGAAATAGCACCTTATTTTTTGGTGTTAGTGGGAGGAATAGTGCCCCGTTAATGAAATCAGTGGGAGGAATAGTGCCCCATCATTGGTGTTAGTTGGAGGGAACGGTGCCCTGTTATTGAAATCAGTGGGAGGAATAGTGCCCCATCATTGGTGTTAGTGGGAGGAATGGTGCCCTGTTATTGAAATCAGTGGGAGGAATAGTGCCCCGTTAATTAAATCAATGAGAGGAATTGTGCCCCATCATTGGTGTTAGTGGGAGGAATGGTGCCCTGTTATTGAAATCAGTGGGAGGAATTGTGCCCCATCATTGGTGTTAGTGGGAGGAATGGTGCCCTGTTATTGAAATCAGTGGGAGGAAAAGTGCCCCATCATTGATATATCAGTGGGAGGAATGGTGCCCATTATTGATATCAGTGGGAGGAATAGTGACCCATCACTGATATATCAGTGGGAGGAATGGTGCCCTATTATTGATATCAGTGGGAGGAATAGTGACCCATCATTGATATATCAGTGGGAGGAATGGTGCCCATTATTGATATCAGTGGGAGGAATAGTGCCCCATCATTGATATATCAGTGGGAGGAATGGTGCCCATTATTGATATCAGTGGGAGGAATAGGGCCCCATCATTGATATATCAGTGGGAGGAATGGTGCCCATTATTGATATCAGTGGGAGGAATAGTACCCCATCATTGATACATCAGTGGGAGGAATGGTGCCCATTTATTGATATCAGTGGTAGGAATAGTGCCCCATCATTGATATATCAGTGGGAGGAAAAGTGCCCCATCATTGATATATCAGTGGGAGGAAAAGTGCCCCATCATTGATATATCATTGGGAAGAATGGTGCCCATTATTGATATCAGTGGGAGGAATAGTACCCCATCATTGATACATCAGTGGGAGGAATGGTGCCCATTATTGATATCAGTAGTAGGAATAGTGCCCCATCATTGATATATCATTGGGAAGAATGGTGCCCATTATTGATATCAGTGGGAGGAATAGGGCCCCAATATAAGGATCAATGGCAAGAATTATGTCCCACTGTTGATATCGGTGGAAGGAATAGTGCCTCATATCAGTGGGAGGACTATTACCCCAAGGGCCGGATAAAGGCTAGCAAAGGGCTGCATCTGGCCCTCGGGCCACAGTTTGGAGACCACTGCCTTAGTGCATACCTTTTGGGTAGGCTGCCTACTTCTTCAAGAAATAGTTGGCAATTAGGAAGCGCAGTAAAAAATTTTCTGTATAAAGGGTCTTGACTGTTTGCGAATACTGACACTAGTGGGAAAGAAGGCCCCAATACTGTGATAAGGGGCGCATTATTTTACACAGCCCAAGTGAAACAAATAGGTGAGGAACGCTAATTACAAAATGTATTATTTTAATGCCCTGGTTTACAATATTACATTATCATAAAGGTGAGGCTACATTTTACTGTAAACCCTGGAAGACAACAAAATGTCATTTTTTTTTTCATTTTACTGCAGTAACCCAAAATGTGATTTCTATGAGCTACTGCACTTCACTAAAATGAAAAAGCGTTGGAACATGAGTTCAGTGACCAGCAGAGGGAGACCAAGCCTGTATAATAAATCTGACTGCTGTAAACCTTATACCACCCTTCTTAGTGAACGGTGAGAGATCATTGTAAAGAACAGTTCTGTCCAGGGGCGGACTGACAACTCATGGGGCCCCCAGGCAATAGGGGATCATGAGGCCCCTGTGTCCTTGCCAAAACTGAAAAAAGCCTATAAAAAAAAGGTACCAGGGGCATCTCATGGGGCCCCCTACTGATCCCGGGCCCTCGGGCAGTGCCCGAGTTTCCAAATGGTCAGTCCGGCCCTGGTTCTGTCATACTCCCCACACAATGATCTAAAAGCCATGATAACTTAGCAGGAATATCAGGATCTCAAAAGGATATGTAAGGTGAAGATAAGTGAAGGTAAAGTAAATGTATGCACGCCTCCAAAATCTCGGATGGCTAAAACCGACATATTTTTTGCCAAATTTTTAGGCAAAAGAACATCTCTGACAGATCCAATTTTTTTCATTTTAGCTAGGAACTAAAAATTATAGCTTCATTATACAAATACATATTTTTCTGCATTCACTTGCCTACATACTCTATGATGGGTATCATCAGCAAAAAATGTGTATGTAGATGGAGTTAACCAGGCAGCAAAGGGAACAGGTGTCCCAACTTCTCCCTGTATGCAGAGTAAGCAGGAACTACAACAATGCAGTATTCTTCCTCCAAAGTTCAGTTTTTTACAATAGGGCACTTACAGTGCATTCAGAAAGTATTCAGATATGTTGATCATACCCCCCCTTAATCTTCTCAAGAGAGAATAAATTCAGTTCCTCTAATCTTTCCTCATAGCTGTGCTCCTCCATGCCTCTTATCAGTTTGGTTGCCCTTCTCTGTACTTTCTCAAGTTCCCTAATGTTCTTTTTGTGAATTGGTGCCCAAAACTGAACTGCATATTCCAGATGATGAGAGAACTCCAAAGCAGACAGAGGCTTTCCCAAGAGTGTGCCCTGCAAAATGATTCCAATAGTGGTGAGGTGGGGGCATCTAGTGGTGAAAGGTGAGAGCTACACCAAAATTTCACTAGAGGAAAACAATGAAAACTAAAACCTCTTACATATACTTAAAAAAAATACATCTCATAAACCCATAACATACTTATTCCTAGTGTGTTTCCAACGTTTGTTAGACAAAATTTGATAAATTCACAGTTTGCCATGGTAAACCTAACTAATGCTACTTCACAATAATGTTTAAAACTAAGCAATGCATTCTTTAAGAAGTTATGAAACTCTGGAAGATGTGCTCTCACTGCAGAGGGCAAAGTACTAGTAACTAGAGTGGTCTCACTGCAGCTGGACTTCCTCAATTACTAACTTATGAAACCTTGTTCTACACTGTGCCTATATGTGGATGCATCCATCTTGGTAGAGGAGCGGGGCTTTGCTTCCATTTGTTAGAGCCTCCAGCAAGGAGAACAGTGAGCAGCACAGTAGTAAAATCACCAAATTGCTTGAGATTAGCAGTCTTAGATAGCAGTGACTTAGATCTCACACATCAGATATATAGCTTTGAGGCTGCAGGCAGAGAAGGGCCCAGGCATGCTCATATACTGGAAAGTATGCTGCTATTTTTCAGGAGGACAATTTTCAGGGTACTGCTTAAGCACAGTTAACATTTGTTAATGTTCTCTATAACATAGCAAATGTTCACTTTTTAAAGCTGAAGTTTAGCTAAAAGCTTTAGTCACATCACTTGCCTGTAATGAAGCATGCCCCACATTGTGCAGGCAGTTGGATCCTGGATAAATCTTCACTGCAGGAATGCCCTGTCCTCTTCTTGACTCGAATTGCCTCATGCTGTAATGGTCTACAGCTTCTGGTCTTAGAGCCGGTTCACAGCTTGAACTGCAAAGGTATGTTCTGTGTGTTCCTGTGTGATTCATATGCAATCCGGGTTCAGTGTGATTTCAGCCCATTCATTTCAAAATCGCACCAGAACGCAGCAAAAGTAGTGCAGGTACCATGCAGAGCAACTGGACTGCACTGCAACCTGAATTTGGGGTGTTAGCACTGCACTGACACCCACTGCAGATCGCAAGTGCAGTGCATTATGAACATGGTTCAGGAAATGCTCACAGATTGCGGGTTTCCCACCCCACAGGGCTTTATCACACCATAAATCGCACAGGAATGTGATATGCATTCCTGTGCTATTCACATGCGATCTAAGTGAAGTGCAATTTAACTACTAGCCTACAGGGCACTTATACCCCCTTCCTGCCCAGGCAAATTTCCAGCTTTCAGCGCTGTTGCACTTTGAATGACAATTGCACGGTCATGCAACACTGTACCCATATGAAATTTTTATAATTTGTTTGTGACAGATAGAGCTTTATTTTGGTGGGATTTAATCACCTCTGGGTTTTTTATTTTTTTCTTAAACAAACCAAAAATCACTGAAAATTTTGAAAAAAAATTTTCTTAGTTTTTTTTTTTTTAATTTTGTAAATTTGAATGAATTTTCTCTTTCACTGATGTGCGCTAATGAGGCTGCACTGATAGGCACTGATAGGCTGCACTGATGGGCACTGATAGGTGGCACTGATGGGCACTGATGAGGAGGCACTGGTAGGTGGCACTGATGGGCATTGACAGGCATCACTAATGGGCACTGGAAGGCAGCACTCATATATGGCACTGATAGGTCGCACTGATAGGCGACGCTGACTGGCACTGTTAGGTGGCACTGACTGGCACTGTTAGGCGGCACTGATAGGCAGCACGGATGGGCACTGATAGTCAGCAATGATGCACACTGATAGGCGGCACTGACTGGCACTGATAGGCACACTGGCTGGCACTGATAGGCGGCACTGACGGGCACTGATAGGTGGCAGTGATGCACACTGATGGGCGGCACTGACTGGCACTGATAGGCGGCACTGATTGGCAGCACTGATAGGTGGCACTGACTGGCATTGATAGGTGGCACTGACTGGCACTGATGGGTGACACTGAAAGGCAGCTCAAATGGGCACTGATATGTGACATTGATGTGGCACTGATGGGCACTGGCAGGTGGCATGGATGAGCACTGAGGCAGTTCAGATGGACACTGATAGATGGCACTGCTGGGGCTACACTGATCATCAGTGCCCTGATGATCTGTGTACATGTCCCCTCTGTGGAAAGCGATTACCGGCTCTCCTCTCCTCTTGAGCTATCAGCGTGACAGCTCGTGGGGAGAGAAATGCCGATAACCGGCTTTTCCCTGTTTTCATGTGATCAGCTGTGATTGGACACAGCTAATCACATAACCGAGCTGCGCATGCGCTGTTAGAATGGGAGGACGTCATATGACGTCCTCCCAGAACGAGAGAACCGCCTTGCGTCCGTCATTTTACTATATGGCGGGCAGGAGGCGGTTAAAGAACAAAGGTATACCGCTCAGGCAAACAATCCAGATCAATCCACAACAGGTGCAGGCTCTGGCTCGCCACCACACATGATGCAGCAGGAAGAAGGGTCAGCCGCACACCGGGGGATAGATGAATATAGTGTGTATTTATTGATCCATAGGACACACAAAACACCAGGACATGAACACAGGACCTGTTAACGCGTTTCACACAATCTTGTGCTAAATCATAACCAAAGTGCTATTTAAGCCTATTCATTTGAATGAGCTGACATCGCACTGGACCACAGAAAAAGTAGTGAATGCACTACTATAAAATACACACAGCAACCGGATCGCATTGTGTTTGTGACCTGCATTTGGGGTGTACAGGACAGGAGTGTACAGGTTAGTTAAACCTTAGCTCAAATACAAAAGGCAATGTAAAACTTAACCAGAGAGGCACATATAGGAGGATTTTCTGGTGAATAAAGGGTAGCAATACACTGGTACCTAATGTTCTTAAGAAGGAATTTTGGTAATTTTTGTTATTAAGAAGGAATTTTGGTATTTTGATATGTGGTTCAAAGCAAGGATGCCTGCCAGCTATGTTTACATTCGGGTATATTATTAACATTATACATCTTTTTTTTTTTCCTAGTGGCTGTTTACTGAGGTCACACATAAGAATGTATGGGAGACAACACACCTAGCGCCTGACCATTACTGCATCAGTGTAGAGATGAAGTTTGAGGAAAGAACAAGTAATCCAAGTCCAAAGGTCTGTGTTAACCTGAATGGTAAGTACAGTACATTTTTATGTCTGGGTGATAGAATATGTTAGACATCTGGGGTCTTGTTGGTGTTATCTTTTATTGGAATGGGCCAAGTGACATTTTTTTTAAGCTCTTCTCTACTGAAATAGCTTTCAATGTACACTGTGAGAAACTCACAGTGTGCATTAGAAGCTGCACCCCTTTCATTCCTTGGATTTCAATCATGGAGGCTCAAAATTACATGTGTGTGTCAGTGAGGGCAGTCTGTATGCAGATACAGCCTACCTAGGAATGCCCATTCCTCTAGACTGACATTAACCAGTTATAGCAGAAATACTGAAACAGGGCGGCACAAGTGAGCAAAATCACGTGTGTATATATATATATATATATATATATATATAAAAATATATATATATGATTTTGCAGTCCCAGGTAGGGGGCATGCGTGCCCTACCCATGCCGTCATAAGCAGCCTCGGCTGTCAATCACCAGGTCCCGGCTGGTGATTACTCGCTGGCACCCGGTGATCGCCGAGTATTTCCGACAGGGGAGAGACCTTTATGTAAACAATACAGATCTCTCCCCTGTCAGCTCCTGAACACTGCTTTGTATGGCCATACAAAGCAGTGTGCTGACAGTGAAGCACACACACAGCCCCCATAGTGAAACAGTATACAGCACACAGTTAACCCTTTGATCACCCCAGATGTTAACCCCTTCCTGCCCAGTGACATTAGTACAGTGTCATTGATTTTTTTTTAGCACTGATCACTGTATTGGTGTCACTGGGGATGTCAGTGACAGCAAGTCAGTCCCCCCCCCCCCCCCCGTGTCAGAATGCCTGCAGCAGTCCCGCAGTCCCACTATTAGTTACTGATTGCTGCCATTACTAGTAAAAAAAAAATTCTGGTATATATACCGCCATTTGTAAACACTATAACTTTCACGGAAACCAATTAATTTACACGTATTCGGATTTTTTTTTAGCAAAGACATGGAGCAGAATACATTTTGGCCTAAATTTATGACGAAATTAGATTTTTAAATTTTTTTATTGGATATGTTTAATAGCAAAAAGTCAAATATATATTTTTTTTTTCTCAAAATTGTTGGTCTCTTTTTGTTTATAGCACAAAAAATAAAAAGCGCACAGGTGATCAAATACCACCAAAAGAAAGCTCTATTTGTGGGGAAAAAAAGAACGTAAATTTCATTTGGGTGCAGTGTTGCATGACCGCGCAAAGTGACGCAGTGCTGTATCACAAAAAATTACCTGGTCAGGAAGGGGGGTAAATATTTTTGTTTAAAAAAAAAAAAAACAACATTAGCAAATTGAGGGGAGAGAGGAACCAGCAAGGGAAAATAGAAACCGATTACACTTCAGCTTTAAAGTGGAGTTCCAGTTAAAACCAGGTACTCACTCCCCTCTCTACTCCAAAAAGTGCCAAATGTGGCAATAGTGGAGGGGGGGGGAGGAGGCAGAGAAGTGAAGCTTCCCCTTTTGGGTGGAGTTCTGCTTTAAGATTAACACATCCTGAAACACAAGCCTGATCACAAATTTTCAACTTGGGATTCTTCTGTATGCCAGTGTATAAGTCACTGGGACTCATTCAGACATTTTAATGTGCAGTATTTCACTTATTATCTGCCTTGTGTCGTCAGTCTATTTATATTGAATAAGCTAAGAATGCACAAATATTTCAGCATATGCACTCTTTTTTTCAATGCACTCAACTTATTGTCGAGTGATACACATGTGTTGCAGTATTACACAGTAAAATGCATGTTGCCACAATGCAATATTCTGGAAGGGATTCAAAATCTCTCACAATGCCATCCAGAATTACACTGTATTCATAAGTGTCTTTACTGTGCTGCCTATGTATTCATTCTTCTACATTTGTTGCCTCTGAAGTTCATCATACACTCATGTCTGCAACATAGACAATTTCCAACATCACTAACACATTGGTAATTTCGGCACATAGAATACTTCAAGAAGTATCCAAAAAAAAAAAAAAAAAAAAAAAGTAGTGGTCATTCCAGGAATGCACAACAGAAAAAAATCAATGATGCTATATTCTAAAAATGGCATATTTTGCTAATATTAATGAAAAAATATATTTTTTAAAGAATGCATAAAAGGGGGGCTCAATCCTTTGGCCCAATAACATGTGTAGGCGGCCGCCCCTCCCTCTTTTAATTTAAAAAAAAAAAAAAAAAAATATATATATATATATTATATATATATATATAGTTACTATGCCTTTAAATTTTAAAGAGAGCTTGAACGGGAAAACAAGTAGCAGGTGACCTGGGAGAAAATTCCAGAAGGTCACATGACTAGTGGAAAGTTCTAGAACAGTGGGGCTCATTATATAAAGGAGCTTCGTCGGTGGGAGATTGCCAGCTGATCAGTGTCAGTGCAACGAGCTCCCTCCCCTTTTTTGTCGCAAGACACGTTATGTGGTATTGTCACCCTTTACATTTAGAGGGGGGACTGTTGTTATATTTATTCAATTTGAGTCCTTAACGACTGAGCTATTTGATTCTTATTTGATAACAGAAGTATAAACTTGATTATTAATTAATTATTTATAGTATTTGCTGTTATTTATTTATTTATTTAAGCCAATAAAGTGCCGCAGCCAAAATGTTGCCATTCAAGATTGTGTGTGTGTATTTATTTAGACAGTTATATATTGAGTATTCAGGAGAGGGAGAAAAGGTGCGGCCTGCATTCCCATGTTAACGTATTCAGGTATTTCTATTGTATAATGATATCCTCTTGGTTTTCCCCTTTATAAAAAAAATGCAAAATAAAAAAAAAGCTAGCACCAATAATAATTTAAACCCTTTTTCTGTAACATTATCTATTCTACAGACCTGGTGCACAATAAAGTCATTTGGGGATCTGCTGTTGCCATTTGTGTTTCTTTGGTAATACTTGCAATCCTAGCAGTTTACCTCATTGTGTATCGGCATGTGTTACATCCCAAAGCACATCTTCCATCAAATCTGGTAAGCTGCATGTATATTTAGACAAAAAATATCATTCAAAGATGCTGATCTATACAACAATTCATTCTATAGCAAATGTCTGATTATTTGAAAATACAATCCTGGCAGATAGAACGTGCTAGTAGCTAGATTTTAAATGGCCCACATCCCTAATCAGATACAATAATAACTCCATAAATTTCCCATGGGACCTTTAGGGCCAAAATGTGTAAACCAAAATCATCGAAATTAAAAATACAACAATCTTTATTTACAATGTTCATTAAAAGACATAAAATACATAATGGCTGGTGAATTCAACAATACAATATAGCATAGAATACCCAAAAAAGTCGCTGATCAGGGAATAATTATATTATTTCCACGATATATCTGCACTGATCCCAGAATAAGAGGCCAGTTCTTGTTCAGGGACCAGTGTGGATATGCCAAGCACTGTGGAAATGCTATAGTTTTTCCCTGATCAGGGACTTTTGGGGTATTCTATTCTATTGGGGGAATTTAGGTAACTGGTGCACTCAGAATCTGGAGCAGCTGTGCATCGTAACCAATCAGCTTCTAACTTCAGCTTGTTCAATTAATTTGACAATAAAACCTGGAAGCTTCTATGTAGAGCTACATCAGATTCTGTGTGCACCAGTTTTAATCAATTACCCTCATTTTACTGTTGACTACACCATGGTATGTATTTTACGTCTTTTAACCACTTTCCCTCCATCCTATAGCAGAACTACTGCTACAATGCAGCAGGACTGCGCAAAATCACTGCGAAAAATTAAATTCCAATATATATACTGCCACTTGTAGATGCTATAACTTTTACATAAACCAATTAATTTACCAGTATTGGGGGTTTTTTTTTTTAGCAAAGACATGTAGCAGAATACATTTTGTCCTAAACTTACAAAGAAATTAGATTTCTAAATTTTTTTATTGGTCAAAAATATATATATTTTTTTTCAAAACTGTCAGTGATCAGACGTGATACTGCCAAAAGAAGTCTCTATTTGTGGGGAAAAAAAAGACATAAATTTAATTTATGTACAGCGTTGCATGACCACGCAATTGTCAGTTAAATCACAAAAAATGGCCTGGTCAGGAAGGGGAGTAAATCCTCTGGAGGGCAAGTGGTTAATGAACATTGTAAATC